GAGTGAGTGCCGTGGCGTCAGCCTAGCTCACAGCAACCTCAAACTCCTCAAGCAATCCTTCTGTCTCAGCCTCCCGAGTAGCTGGGACTATAGGCATGCACCACCATGCCCAGCTAATTTTTTTATATATGTATTTTTTTAGTTGTCTAGCTAATTTCTTTCTATTTTTTTTTGTAGAGACGGGGTCTCACTCTTGCTCAGGCTGGTCCTGAACTCCTGAGCTCAAACAATCCACCCACCTCGGCCTCCCAGAGTGCTAGGATTACAGGCGTGAGCCACCGCGCGCAGCTGAACTTTAACTCTTTATTTTTATACACTTATATGGAATTTAAAGTTTCTACAATAATTTTTAATTTAAAAATTTTGGCCAGGCACAGTGGCTCACACTTATAACCCTAGCACTCTGGGAGGCTGAGGCAGGAGAATTGCTTGAGGCCAGGAGTTCGAGACCAGCCTGAGCAAGTATGAGACCCTGTCTCTACAAAAAATATAACAGAAAAATTAGCTGGACATGGTGGTCTGTACCTGTAGTCCCAAATACTCGGGAGGCTGAAGCAGGAGGATCGCTTGAGCCCAGGAGTTTGAGGCTGCAGTGAGCTATGATGATGCCACTGCACTCTAGACCAGGTGACAGAGCAAGACCCTGTCTCAAAAAAAGGTTTAATAATTTTTAAAGATTTGTAGTACTAAAAAGGAGAAAAATCTGCATGCTTCTATAAAATATTCATTATATACACAAAACGAAACATAAGCAATGGTTTTAATGTCCATTACTAGGAGAGTAAGAAAATTAGGATTCAAGAAGTTTTTGCTACAAATCAAAAAAAGTAATGAAAAGTATGTAATAACATGAAAAAAATTTCAGTGCAGTGAGGAAAACAAAGCCACAATATAATGTAGGCTATATTATGTAAAAACAGGCATAGAAGAACAAATTGAAAACCAGATACACCAAAAGCCATAATAGGGGTTGTGTTACATGCTAGGATTTAGGTGGCTTTCTCTTCCCTATTTTCTGACATTGTTGAAAAAACAGCATGGCTTTACCACTGCTTTTGTTTTTAAAAAGAAAAGAAATATACATGCCACAAAAGAAAAACCAAAATGACAATATAATATAGAAGGTTTCAGAGCAGCCAACGCAGGCTGGAGAAGAAGGCAGCTCCACCGCCAGCTCTGTGCGTGCGTGGATGTTACAGAAGCACAGCAGAGCGACCCCGTGCACCGCACCCATCCTGGCTCTGAGCCACCTCCGCCTCACACAAAATGAGGATTCCGGAACAGATCATCTCTGAAGTTCCTTCCAGGTTTAAAACTGTATGATTCTAAGTTTAAAAAACTAGAAAATTAGAGAACAGGCTGGGCACAGTGGCTCACGTCTATAATCCTAGCACTCTGGGAGGCCGAGGCAGGTGGATCGCTCAAGGTCAGGAGTTCAAGACCAGCCTGAGCAAGAGCGAGACTCCGTCTCTACTAAAAATACAAAGAAATTATCTGGACAACTAAAAATGTATATATAGAAAAAATTAGCTGGGCATGGTGGCGCATGCCTGTAGTCCCAGCTACTCAGGAGGCTGAGGCAGGAGGATTGCTTG